CGCCAACATTTGTTGTTGCTAGTTTTTTTTAATACCATGGTATCTCATGGTAGTTTTGATTTGCATTTCCCTGATTACAAGTGATGTTGAATATTTTTTCATATGCCTGTTGGCCATTTGCATTTCCTCTTCAGAGAAGTTTCTTTTTAGCTCTTCTGCCCATTTTTTGACTGGATTATTTTCTTTGTTGTTGTTGAGTCTCATCAGCTCTTTGCAGATTTTTGTGATCAGTCCTTTATCATTAGTGTTGTGTGCAAAAATGTTCTCCCAGTTGGTGGGGTTTCTCTTTGTTTTTGTTATTGTCTCTTTTGCTGTGCAGAAGCTCTTTAATTTGATGTAGTTCCAACTGTTGATCTTTGCCTTCATTATCACTGCATTGGGTGATGTGTCTGTAAAGATGTCTTTGATGTGCATATCACATAGTGTTTCGCCTATATTTCCTTCTATGTATTTTATGGTTTCAGGTCTTATGTCTAGATCTTTAATACATTTTGAGTTGATTTTTGTGTATGGTGTGAGGTAGTGGTCAAGCTTCATTCTTTTGCATGTAGCGACCCAGTTTTCCCAGCACCATTTATTGAACAAACTTTCTTTGCTCCAATGCATAGTCTTTGCTCCTTTGTCAAAGATTAGTTGACCATAAGTCTGTGGGTTTATTTCTGGATTTTCTATTCGATTCCATTGGTCTGTGTGTCTGTTCTTATTCCAATACCATGCAGTTTTGATGATTATGACTTTGTAGTATAGTTTGAAGTCTGGGAGTGTGATGCCTCCATTCCCCTTTTTTTTCAGGAGAACTTTGGCTATTCGGGGTTTTGGTGGTTCCATATGAATTTCATCAATAATTGTTCTATTTCTTTGAAGAATGACATTGAGATTTTTATTGGAATAGCATTGAATCTGTATATTGCTTTTGGTAGGATGGCCATTTTAATAATGTTTATTCTTCCAATCCATGATTGGACTATTTAAGCTGTATTTCATTCTGGTTCAATCTGGGAACTTTGGGAGGTTATATGAATTTAAAAATTTGTCTATTCTAGGTTCTCCAGTATGTTTGTGGCATATTTGTATATTTGTGTATTTCTGCAGTATCTGTTGAATTTTTCTTCTTTAACTTTTGATTCTATTAATTTGGGTTTTTCCTCTTCTTCCTAAACATAGCTGATGACTTGTTGATTTTGCTTATTTTTTCAGAAATAACATTTTTTAATATTTACTTATGCATACAAGAACTGGTACAGGCAGAGGTGTAGGGGTGAGAGGATTCACCAGAGACAGAGTGGGGAACAGAACAGGCAGATTGACTGAAATATACTGCTGAGGGGAGCACCGGGTGGGTCAGGAGAGATCTTCTGCGCCATGTGGGTAGCTCCCTGGCTGGCCACGGATCGAACTCATGCTGCGGTGGCTGCAGATAGCTTAGCAGGTTGTGTCTTAACCTCTTGTGCCACCAGGGAGGCCCTTCAGAGTAACATTTTTAATGAAGATGAAAAGATGAGTAAAAGACCCTGGGTAAAGTAGGGCAAGAGGCACTTGTGCCATCACCCTCTTATGACCAGACCAAAACTCCTGCCCTCCTCAACACTGAGTTCATGCAGAATCCAGACCACCAAATCCCAGGGAAGACCTGCAAGCTGCCAGCCACCGTCACTCTTGTCACCAGGCTGTCTCCTACCCTCAGAAACAGCCAAAGATCCAAAATGTAGCCAGGTCACTCAAAGCAGCCAGCCACAATCAAGACTCATAATTACAGTCTTTATGCGGGAGAGTATAGGGAGAAAGTCTCTGTTTTCCCTTCTTTGGCTTCAGTTGATTACAGTACCTTTGACCCAGAGTCAGCAGTGCTTAATATACAGTTAGTTTCTGCTGACCTCCTTCCTAGAGAATGCAATGTACTTTTATTAGGATTAGGGATATATCTGTCTTGCAAGTTTCTCCAAGCAGTACTCTCATGAACCTCATGGCTGCCCAGACACCTTGGCTATAAGGTCCCCTGGTGGAATTTCTGCCCAAAATGGAGGCAGTAGATGTGTAGAGCCTGTGTATACTTGACAAGTCTAACCTCAGGGTGGAATCCATTGTGTAGACAACCCCTTTGTGAGACACACATGAAATGGTCACCTCATTGGGCATGGTTGTTGGATTTTATCTTATATCCACAACCCTTTAATATTTCACTTAAAGATGAAAAATCACCCTTTTTTGAAGAATAATGAACAGAAAAAAGTGCTCAACTCCTACATGTATGGCTTGGTGATTTTTCACAGAGTGGACACAGATCCAGCACCAGACGAAGTAACATTCCAGAAACCCTCTTCTCCACCCCTCTTCTAGTTACTGCCCACCTTGGGTAACCACAGTTCTAGACTTCTAACACCATAAATTAGTTTTGGCTTTTTAGCTTTATAGAAATGAAATCACAGCCTGAGTTTTTACATTTTTTGTATTTGTAAGATTCATCCATGCTTGTTACTCTAGTTTATTTTTACTGTTTTGTATAGCATTGTTTCACTATATCATAATTACACAATTCAACTGTTGGTAGACATTGAGGTGTTCCTGCATTTGGTGATTATAAATAGTGTCACTTTGAATAGTCATTTGTGTGTCTTTGATAAGCAAATGCAAATTTGGGGAAGGGAGCATATATATTTGTATTAGTTGTCTATTGTTACATAGTAAATTTCCCCAAAACCTAGTAGTTCATAACAAAAATAAACATTAATTTTCAAAGTTTAATGAGTGAAGAATTTGGAAGGAACTTGCAATGGCAGATCTGGCTCAAGATCCTGGTTAAGGGTGTAATCATCTGAAGGCTAGAATGAGTCATCAGATCTGCTTCTAAGGCAGCTAACTCACATGACTGGCAAATTGGTACTGAGTGCTGGGGGGCGGGGGTGAGGAGCCTCAATTGCTTCATGTGGAAGTTGCCTAAGATTACCTGTGTGTCTTCATAACATGGCATCTGGCTTTTCCTGAAATGAGTGGTCAAAGAGAGCGAGCCAAGGTTGAAGCTACGTCCTTTTTTGTGACTTAGCTTTGTAAGTCATGAAGCCTCACTTCTACCTCATTCTACTCATTACAAGAAAGCCACTAAGCAGCCCATAACCCAGACTTCATCTTCAGAAGGGAGGAGAGGCAAAGAATGTGTGAACATAGTTTATAATCAATAACTCCACTGCACTTTAAAGCTTGAAATTAACCCATGCTACGGCGTTAAAAACAATAGGTTTATAGAAATAGACATCAGCATCTAAGAAAGACACTTTACCCAGCCTCTTCTATTTACTTAAAAGTTTATGTTCATAGAAAAGTTTTCAATGTGTTTCCTGGAGATGGCATGATATAATAGAAAGCACAAACTTTTAAGAATCAGACACCTCAAGTCTGAATCCTGAATTCACTACTTGGTAATTATGAGTAGTGAATTATGGCTATTTGGGCAAGAACTCCTCTTATTGTCTCAGATTTTATAGTGGGGAAAATCAGAAATGTTTGTCTCATGTTATCATGGAGGGGGATAATTAAATGGAATAATGTGTGTAAAGTGCCCACTATGATGGGAGGTTCCTTCTGTTTGTTTATTGATCAGAAGCTTATCTAGTAACCGTATGTTATCTAGAAGGTGCTGTGATGACCCCTGTGAGTGGTACAAAACTGACTCAGACACAGAGCTTGCCTTCAAGAAGCATATCCTGTTATAAGGTCATTGATAGGCAGGATAATTATAATACATTGAGAAAATGATTAGTGTCTGGACCAGGTATGGACACAATTCTTTAAATATGAATCAATTTTGAATATACAAAAATGGGAGAAATTTTGAGGGGCCAAAAAGTGTTCCAAATCAGCAGTAACAACTCAAGTAAAGACAACGCTAGAAAGCCAGGGGAGCTGAATTGAGAATGAATAACAAAGCAATTATTACAGTTAAGATGGAGACTTTAAGTCAGATCAGAGGAGGTAATGAAATAGAGGTTGAAATGGTAATTATGTATCAGAAGAGCAGGAAACAACTGAGAGAGTATATAGTTTTATAGTCTGACAAAAACATTAGGACAAAAGATTATTTTAAACAATTTTCAGAGCTGATTATGAGAGCTGGGCAGGCCCAGCTACTGAAGCATCTACTTGCCATGCTTTTCTTGGCTAACTCCTGTTTGCAAGATCTTTGAGCCTCACATTGTAAACAGAGCTTTCTAAAACTTATCATTAATGAACACTTCCGACAGCCCAAGCAACTGAGCTTTGCCCTTATCATTCCCATTTTGGAGGCTATATCAACAGGGAAAGAGAGTGGGAGTATTTTATAGGCCCTTAGCTTGTTGTAAATGTACTTCTCAAGACTTGGCCATTTGAAATGGCCGATTCATGTGTTCTGTGTGTATTTAACTTCTACTGCCAGATAATGAGCTATTCTTTCTCTTTATTCCCCCCCCCCCAAGAAGACTAATCTACTTAGAAACCTTCACATTTGTGACATTCTCCAGTCCCAGGCAGTGATGGTATTTATACATAAGACAGAGACATTTCTATGCTATGATAGAAGTTTGGAGGAAGTTGGAGTCAATGACCTTACACTTTGAAACCAAAGAAAAACAACCACAAATTTTTCTTTCAGTCTTGCTAAGAAGGTGGATAGATTAACAGAAAAAACTTCTTTTAGTCTCAATATGTGGTACCCTAAGCTTTTATGTGCTCAACCTATATCTTCTGTAGCAACTCCACACACAATTATTTTGACGAAGTCTATGTTCTATCAAATGGACACAATTCATTCTTGGTGCTTTTGTGGATACATATGGGATGTACCACATTATCCGCTTACAGATGAATTCTAGAGCATGAAAGGAGAGGATGGATTATGCTCTTGGGATAGAATTCTTAGTCAATCTCATGTTGCCTCATAGATGTTCATTCTGCATTAACACTGCACAAACAGGAAATGTTCTCTGCACAGATGCTTAGGGGCCTCTTCTTATCTGATTTCTCCCCAGGTGGGAAATCGGCAAGTGGAGTCCATGCAGTCTCACCTGTGGGGTTGGCTTGCAGACCAGAGATGTCTTCTGCTCCCACCTACTCTCCAGGGAGATGAATGAAACCGTAATCCTGGCTGATGAGCTGTGTCGCCAGCCCAAGCCCAGCACAGTGCAAGCTTGTAATCGCTTCAACTGCCCCCCAGCCTGGTACCCTGCACAGTGGCAGCCGGTGAGTTCTCAGAGCATGCTCAATATTGCAGTGACTCAGGATGGGTATTCTCTCCAAGTCATTTTGGCACATTGAAATGATGTCCAGGTCTGTTCATCTCTCCCTTCTTAGTACAACCCCAACCTTATTCAAATGCAGATATTTTAATTGTAAGTACTTTACTCTTTCTATTCTGCCTACCCAGTGTACTCCAGAAGCAATTTGTTGGGTTTTTTTAATAATTTTATTTATTTTATTTTATTTTTTAATTTATTTATTTATACAAGCACTGGGTACAGTCAGAAGCGTGGGAGGGTGAGAGAATTCACCAGAGCCAGAGCGGGGAGCAGAGCAGGCAGAAGGACCAAAGCACACTGCTGAGAGGAGCAGCAGGCGGCAGGAGAGGGATAGAACCAGCGCTGCAGAGGCTGCAGGCAACTTCGCAACCCAGCGCTCAACTGTTGCGCCACCAGGGAGGCCCCATCCAGAAGCAATTTGAATGATCCATTTGTTACCTGAACATACTCATGTCAAAATTTTCAGCAAACTTAGGGAAAGAAAATTTAAGTAAGGACAATGTAGTGGGTTTTCCAAAAAAGCTAAATCAGTTCTGAATTTGGGTACTTTCTAGTTTTCTGTTGCTGTTAAAAATTCTAAGAGATAAAGGTACGAGGCAATGCTTTTTCTTTCTTTTAAAAAAACCTAATTTTGCTTAGCAAAGAGAAAAGTAAGAAATCCTGAGTCAATTCTAGATTTTCAATATTTTTCTAGTCATATGAATTTTAAAGTCTGGAAACTTTTGCTTTAAAGTCCATGAACCAAATGCAGCCTGCAGGTAGTTATTGTAAACAAAGTTTTATTGGAACACAGCCAATAAAACACAGCCAATTTATGTGTTATCTACGGCTGCTTTGGCATAACCAGAGCAGAACCTTGTGACCGTGACAGAGATCGTCAGGGCCCCAAAACAAAAAATACCTACTCTGTCCTTTTTATAAAGTTTGCTGACCCCTCTCTAAAGCATGCATTATAATAGTAAAATCACAACTATCTTATGATAATACCTGAAATAAGTAATACCTAATGATTAAACTTAAATAATCTTTTTGTATGCTTCTAAATAACACAGGATTTGAAATTATATGGGTAGAATCATATTTTGCAGCTTCCTCCCCATCAGGATATCAGAAGTAGCATTAAAGTAACAACAAAGGTGACAAAAATATGCCAAAAAGAAAGGTGATGGAGACATACAGACAGTTTTATTGAAACAACCTTTCTCGAAGTGTCCCAAGTAGAATGATAAGCTATATGGGTATCCTACCTTGGAGGGGAGAGCAGAGCCTCCTCAGCCCCTCACCTTGGTGTGCAGACACTCGTCGTCCGTGCTGTTTCATACCACATCAGCAGAATCTGCCTTCCCCCTGCTGCTCTTGGGGTTGTGATTTAGTAAATTGCTCAAAGAATCAAGTAGTCATCAGTGAGCAAAACACTAAAATGTAAAGCATCTAGAAAAGATATTAATTATATTTTCTTTTAAAGCTTAAGTGCATTGACAAAGTTCATAATTCCATGCTGCTATATGATAGTTTGTGGAAATCAAGTTTATTCTGTACCTTGAACACCAGTGTAACCAGTGTTTTGTTAAGAAGTACATTATTAGTTAACCAAAAATAATACTCATGATTCAGTGAAATGCAGCTTTCATTATCTTCATTCTGGGTTTGAGAAAACTGAAGCTCACACAGCTAGCAAATTTAGGTTTCGCCATCTGCCAAGTTTCACGTGGTCCTTTCCACTGTACCCAATTATTGGAGACAGTTATTACTTGATGTGTCCTCCAAGATTATGTGCCTTACCCTGGGCAAGCTATATCCAGAACCCAGGTCTTCTGATTTTTAGTGCATTTATCCTGTTCACTTTAACTAGATGACCTTTCACTGCACCACTCACCCATGCCAACTCCAAGACCACAGATCAGCCCAAGTCAACCTCCAACTGCTTGAGGAACTTAATTCCTATAATATTAACTTTTGTTGCTACTATGTACATAGCAAGTTCAGAATAAAATGTTTACTGAAAAACAAAATGATTGAAAAGATAAAATATACCAGCCCACAAGTCCTGAAAATTCTGACTTTATAGTTTACTGATTTTTTTTTTAAAGATTTATTTATTTTTATACAAGAGCTGGGGTACAGGCCAGAGGTGTGGGAGGGTGAGAGGATTTACCAGAGACAGAGCAGGGAGCAGAACAGGCAGACAACAGAAACACACTGCTGAGGGGAGCAGCGGGTGAGACAGGAGAGGTCTGCGGCATCATGTGGGATTCTCGCCGGCCAGCCAGGATTGAACCTGCACTGCCAAGGCTGGGGACAGCTTCACAGCACGGTGCTCAACCCGCTGGGGCACCAGGGAGGCCCTACTGATGGATAAACTTCCTAGTACTGACTTAGCAGTGAAGTTCAATGAGACACCAGCCCCTCTTCATCAGCCACATGCAATGCTGAGTAATGGCAGTGAGCTCTGCTGTTCATTCAGTTTTTAAGCACATCCATATACATACCTGTTTTGTTCTATTGCCACCACCCACACACCCAGTGACAGTAACCCTGTTAGCAATCATAGTTTTCCATAGAGTCTGTGTATTCTTCTTTTTCCCATCTACCTTGGATTTGTTAAGCATTTGGAAAACTTTTCTCTTTCATTCCATTAGGGAGAAATCTTTAGGGGATGAGTCAAACTTAAGTCCTATCCTCATGCAACAAGCCACTGACCATACCTTATTAGGACCTTTAGAAAGTATCTTCTTTCATACCTAATACATAATAGTTGTGAAAAATATTCAAATGAAACAAGAAACAAAGAATATAGAAAGTGAATGCTACCACCAGTGATTCTGTCCTCCACAGAAAACCACCTGAAGCATGTGGTGCATAGAGTCTATTTAAAGAATCCTTGGTCACATTTATAAATCTCTCTAAACCTTGAGGAAACAATAGATGGTTATTCTTATATTTTTCCTAGAATCCTACATCTTTGGGTTGACTTCATTTGGCAAAATCAGTTATTACTGACCACTTGTTTAAGCAAGGCATGGCTTCTGCTATGTGGGAGAATTCAAGGGGAGCTTAGCTGTCCCTGAGTTAACTGGCTGTGCTCAGATACCACTTAGTGAAAATCCCAGCTGCTGACTGTACATTTGCCTGCTTAGCTTCCGGCTCCTTGGCAACCTGCTATGCTCTCACAGTTGTCTTTTCCACTGAGCTGCTTGTATCTGCCAGAAGAGAGTGCTGAGGTCTCTAATCCTTGAACTCCTAGTTTACAGTCCTTTTTCATATGAAAAAAAAAAAAAGGATATATGGGTCAAAGGCTTCATTTAAAGGCAGACATAACAACCTGATGGACATTGGGTTGTTTAAGAGGCCCCCCTCCACCTCCCCCCCACCCTTTGAATGGAGCTACCACTGACCTCATACATTTTTTTTCTTCCTGGAGGAAAAAATAACAAATTACATGAATTGTTTCTTGCCTATTTAGGAATACAACCTCTTTTGTCTTTTATAGAGTATTTGCATAACAAATGGCAAATTGCCAATAATATACATTCTTCAGGTCTGTAGGGGACCAGCATGAAGTCCAAGTATTTATGTAAAAATTTTATTTTATTTTACAAACAGTTGAGTAGTCATAAAGTAGAAATGTAATTCTAGCTTTGGCTTGTAGGGCCTTCACTTCTATCTCTTACACAATGCTGTACCCCCTGATTTTATCTCTGGCCTTATATGAAGGACTCATTTTATCAGTTTAGCTTTAAAATCTCTTTACAGGTTTAGCACATTAGTCTCCGGAATTATCTCTGCTTTACTCAGTATGCCCTCAGAATCATCGTCATCATTATCTTTGGTGTTGGCTATAGATTACTTATTACACACCCCACAAAAAGTCATTTCATGCTGGAGTGTTACAGTCCTGTGATTGAGAGCCAGTGTTATATGTGCCACAAGTCAGTCTAACACCTTGATCACGTCAGTCTTTTAGGATTTCTTTTGTCTGCAACCCTCCATTGACCTGGTCAGGACTTCATCCCTCTGCATGTCTCCCCTAGCCGTCTCCAGTTATGGATTTCCCATCCCAGGTTGTCCATTCCTATCTGCCCCCACTTCTCCCAGCCCACGTGTAGTTCCCTCACTCTCTGCCTGTCAGAACTGGGCAGACGCCCCACCTCTTCTGCTGGGATTCTGCTGTCCTTCTACCCTAACCACATGGCATTCATGGTCAGTGCTGCTCACCTAACAGTCACGCACCTCATGACTCGGACAGGAGCTTTCTCCTCACCTCTGAATTAGACCATCAGGTCAGTGATGGCAGAAGATGACCACGTGACCCTGGTACATGTGTGTCACAGAGACAGTGCTGAAGCCTCTATGATGCTGCCCTGGATGGAATTTACTACATTTACTTCATTGAGCATTTACTACATTTACTTCTCCATTTAATAAGAGCAGCACTTTGTTTAATAACAGTCACACACAGTTCTAGTCACTTTATGTATTTAACTCATTTAATTCTCACTATCCTGTGTGACCACCATTTACAGATGAGGAACCTGAGCATTGTGAGGTTAACATGAATTTAGACTTATATTGAACTCATTCCACTGCTCTTGCATTTTCTTCTTTTTTTTTTTTTAGATTTATTTATTTATTTATACAAGCACTGGGTACAGTCAGAAGCATGGGAGGGTGAGAGAATTCACCAGAGCAGGGAACACAACAGGCAGACTGATAAAATACACTGCTGAGGGGAGCAGCAGGCGCAGCAGGAGAGGTCTGTTGCGCCCTGTGGGACCCTCACCAGCGGCCGGGGATCGAACAGGCACTGCAGAGGCTGAGGGCAGCTTTGCAGCCCAGTGCTCAACTGCTGCACCACCAGGGGAGGCCCTGCATTTTCTCTTTTTACCCCCACAGCAAACTTGTGAAGAAACCAGACTCATAGAGCTGTAAATCACATAGTCAGTA